ATTTCATTAAGGCAGTTTTATTGCAACAATCACTAAACTAAACTAATTTGACCTATCTCTAATTTTATTCATTAAATAAAATGCCATTTCAGGTATGTCGGATTGAATACGTAGAAGAAGACAAATGGGAAGGAACTGAAAAAATTTTCTACGAAGAAATTGGAGAATCTAGCTCCTCAAAGAAGGTTCCAGTCCCAATTTGTTTAAAAATGAATGATAAAAAAACGATGAACATGGAAGGTGTTGCTCGATTATTCCTCGTTAAATTATACGGAGAAATGCCTTTCTTGGAATTTCTCGAGAAACAAAAGTCGAATCAAGGAAAATATGTAGTAAAAGGGGGAAAGCATCCACTTCGATCCCTGGTAATGAGTTAATTTTTTAAATGAAATTATTTGATTTAATAGAAAAACGCCTTCAAGGATAAGGTATCCAAGCTTACGCAAAAAGCGAAATGGAAGTCAACTCGAGGACATTAAGCGAATGAGTTTATTTGAAGAGCTGTAAAAGCTAGAGCATATTGCTCTATTTCATCTGTCCCTTTTTTTTTAAATTTAGCCGTAGTATGACCAGATGCTCACTAATTGTCTTATTTTATATTAGTTGATATTTAGTTGAAAATATTTTTTCGGAGATCCTTTATTAATATTTGTTAGGTAAAATCACATTTTCAGGATCCTGTATCAGGATTGGGTTTTAAAATTTCATACAAGACCTTATCCTGCAGGATTAATCCTGAAAATTCTGAAAACTGAAAGAAGGCAGGATTTCGGACAGGATCCTTTAATCATGTGCAAGATCTTGTCTTGCGCCGGCCACTATTATACTAGATCACAGATTTCTCTAAATTTTTATATAAAAAAGACATTAGAAGAGCCGGTCCTTAGAATACTTTCTTAGTTATGTACATATTATTCTTTATGTAAATTATATTTATTTTTCCTTACACTTTTCTTGACAAACATTGTGATTTTCTAAAATTATTTTAGTATAAAACATTTAGCAATTTTTGGTTGATTTCTTAATTTAAAGTCAAAATATTAACAAAAAATATATCAGAAAATTAAAGAAAATTTTTAACGCGAGAATTTGAAAATCTTTTAGACAATTAGGTAATAGTGTCGTTTCCAGGCCCCATTTTCTTCTACCCAAGTTTTTGATCTATATTTGAACAGAATGGTCAGGCCTTTTCACTTCTTCCAACCTAATTGCCTTTCTATATTTTACCACAATCATGAAGGATAATTCTTGTATTTAAAAAATATTAGTGAGAAAAGTAAAATATAGAAAGGCCTTTGGGTTGAAAGAAGGGGAAAAGCTTGACCATTCTGTTCAAATATACCTAGGAGGAAGCTTCGGGAGGAAAAAAATGGAGCCTGTAAACGACACTATGTATTACTGAGAATTTAACTGCCGGATCCTGTTTACTTTTTAAACTGAACGGATAAAGACAACAATAAAACTTTATAATTAATCGTAACATTTCATGGAACGTGAAATCAATATCAAACACTAAAGTTTAAGCTAATCAGCAATTAGCAAAAGATAATGAATTAATTTTTAATTTTAATCACAATATTGTTAAAATAAAAAAGCGATTTACAAGAAAAAATTTTGGTAATAGTCTGGGGCCATTCCTTGCCCTATTCCTCGAAATTTCTGAAAGTTATAGCCAATTTTTAAAAATCTCAGAAAAACGATTGTAACTTTAAGAAATTTCGAGGAATAGGGTAAGAAACGGTCCCAGAACCAGTAGGCGTAATAATTACCCCCTCCCTTTTAATTACCTCCTCCAGCGAGGGGTTGAAACAATAATCACCCTGTGTAATTATATTAGCAAATACGGTAATTCTAAATTTAATTCTATTTTGAAAAAATTTTTAATTTATTAAAATTATTTATTTATTATTTTTTTATTTTATTTTTTTTACACTTTAATAAAAATTTTGTCAGTTGACTTCGATTTTTTAAATTTTTTATTTAAAAGACTCGAGGATTGAAGAGGGAAAAGGGCAAAGCAATTTAAAAGGGTAAAGGCTAATTTCATTAAAAATAGGCATAAACTACAATAATAAATTTTTTTAATCTTATGATTTTATATTTTTTTTTAATCTCGCAAATTGAAAGTACAGAAATTTACAAAATAAAACTAAAGAATCGTAGAAAAAAATATGAAAAAATTTCTTTAGAAACATGTTTGTTTGGTGCTGCGTGATTTCGGCAGAAGTGACGTGGGCAGTGAGTGATTTTGGCAGTGGGTTAAATGGGAAGTGGAGAGGGATTTGGGCAGGAAACTAGAGTTTAATCGGAAGTTCCGGTTCCGGTTTGGAAAGTTCCGGTGTTTTATTGGTTCGGTTCCGGGAACCGGAACTCAAATTGCAAAATTTTCAAAATTTTTGCCTGCGGCGCAAAAAGCGATTGATAATGAGAGAATAAATTTACTAGCTCTTATTCAACCAAATCGCTGACAACCAATCCGCTTAATCCAATTTAATTCCCCGATATCGCCCTCAATCCACCCAAATCACAAGATAATCCATCCAGATCCCGCCTAATCCATTGATACCCTACTTAATCCTCTGATATCACTCGATATTCTCACTTGATCTGTCCAAATCCCCCAATAAAAAATAATTCATTAGTTTTCTACCCGGAGCCTGGAGCCAACATGAGGCGGCTTCGAAAATCGCCGTCTCCGGATCCAACAAATGGCAAATACCCAGCACTGTCGGAAACTTTTGTTTCTGATTTGAGATCGGATATCTGAGCACTCAATTGAATACCCTAAATTAAACATAAGAAGAGGATTACCGGAAATTATTTCGTCAGTTTTTGAAATTAAAAGAAAAACATTTTTCAATGACCTTCCAAATAGGCCTTCTTTTAGAGATGTCGGGGCATCTATAATGGAGGAGGCATTGTATTAGCCTTCAAAACTAAGGCTAGTGTAAATGTAAATTTTGTCAAACGATAAATTATTCTTTTCTTCTATTTCCTTCGATCTTTACTAAATTATATAGGGCGGAGTTATTAAGATTAACATAGAAAATTGTATACATAAGAAAATAAATACAGTGAATTTCCCTCGATTTAATCATTCATTAAAGATTTTTTTTCATTTAATTTAAAAAAACCCTGAAAAAATGCGCTTAATCCTTTTTGGGGCATTTGCCCTGCTTATAGCATTAAGCGAAGCAATGGATAAAGGAAAGGCTCCTGAGGGATCATCTCAAGGTCTGCCAGGAAATTTAAACGTTTATTTGGAACCAAATGATGAAAATTGCACAAGGGAACTCTACAGGCCTGAATATCAGTTACCGTTGCCGCGTGAATATAATGGACTCTACAAAAGTATGTTTATAATATACAGGGTGCGGCAAATTTAGCGCCGACTTTGTTTTGGCTATAACTTTTTTAATTTTAAACGAAAATTGATAATTCTTTTTTTCCTGGATTCCCAACACTTTAGGAAAATTGTTGATACCAAAATCGTTTTTAAATTTTATAATTAAGTTTGATTAATTTTCTATCAAATTTCGAGCAAAAATTTTTGGATAAAATATGGCCTGGATTCAAGGCTATTATTTTAATTTATGAAGTTTATATATCATTCGAATCAGCTCTCCAATCTGATTCGAATGACGTCAAAATCAGGCGTCTATCACATAAATGGACCGAGATATGGCTCACTGAATGATAAATTAAACAAATTTTGGCAAATACGAATTTTTTGTGTGAAATTTTCAAAAATGAGATTATTAGCTATTTCGATACGCCTGAACGAGATAAGTCGATTGGTACCAAAATTATTCGGATTGGATGATTTTGAACAAAGTTATGATCAATTAAACTTTGGCATGAAAAATCCATTTTTACCCGTTTTTATGTTCGGACTCGTTTTTCATTGAATGTTTATTATTTGGTGTTTATTATTTGGTACCAATAGATTTCCTAAAGTGTTAGGTGTAAAACAAAAAAAGAATTATCAATTTTCGATTAAAATTAAAAAAGTTATAGCCAAAACAAAGTCGGCGCTAAATTTGCCGCACCCTGTAGAAAGATTTTGGATTTACTGTATCTCCTCTATTAGAATCCCGTGGCATTCTAGAATATAATATTTTTTAATCACCTTTCAGAGTGAGTAAAATGAAGGGCATCTATAGTGATGGGGGAATCTATTAGAGATGAGGGATATCTATGGTGGAGGAGGCATTGCTTTTATAAAATAATATCTTTAAATAAACCGTTTTAAAAATTTAAAAAAACCGCTAATAAATCGCAGAAGTTGACTAATTATTTTTATATAATAAATAATTTAAGCGACAAACTTTCCGAGAGCTACGGCTAATGAAGAGGAATTTAAAAGAGTCTTGAATGAACAGAATGAAGTGTTAGAAGTGTTTATGAGCAAAGAAGAGTATAAAAACATTATGGGCGAACATGAGTATGAGGAATATAAACAATTGGGTGACGATAGACAGATTAATTATATTGAAAAAATAGTAAAAGTGAAGCAATTAGAAGAATACTTGAAGCTGAACAAATTAGATACATACTTGGAGCAATTAAAAGATATAAGAGAAAATGAGAATATGAAAGGTGGCCCAGATGTTGAACGTCCATGTCACATAATTAACGAGGATGGAGTTTGTAAAATTGATGTTTGTATGTTTTATTTTATTCTATTTTTAAATATTGGATGAATAAATAATGAAAATTGTAACGCCTTTTAAAGATTTATAGAAATAAATAAAAAATAAATTTAAAAAGAGGATAAGAATAAAGGATAAGAACAATTTTCAAAGGAAATTTGTTTTGCTCCTAGCCGCTGAATAAACATATGCATTGGCTAAAGTAGAAATGGCTATAGCCAGTTCTGCTTTCCAAATTACACAAATTGTCCAATGTTTTGAGGGGCGGTTCTTGTGTTGTTTAGAGGGATGTTGTTTTAGAGGGACGGTTTTTACATTTTTACCCATGATGATTAAATAAACAAATATATGAATGCTAATCATTTTTACATTTTAGCTGAACTTTATGGTCCTTACGAACCAGTACAGGTTGTAGGACTTCATTTGTTAAGAGGTTATTTACCAGCGTGTGATTGGATTAGGCCTGATTTCGAAGATGTTAAAAAATATGCCAAATTATGGCATACTGATAATAAAGAGGATTTGGTTATACATCATGATATAGGCAATGATGAAAAGCGAATAATTGATCGTTGCTCGTTCTATGGGTTTGAAAGTTTTAATTTATTTGTTATAAAATATGTGAATGATGCTAGAAACCAAGAGGACCACATACATATAGTCAAAAAATGCCTCACAGAAATATATTCACTTGAGATATCCAGGGATCGAGGGTTAAGCGGAATATAAGTGGACATCGTTGGGCATAATTTATTTTTTGATTTTTTACAATAACTTGGATTTGCTTGAAATAGTTCCCTACATACATATATGCATAAATAAAATCGCTGACTGTAATTATAATCATCTGACTCCAATATTTTTATTCCTATTCTCGTATCCCCTTAATCTCTCTAAATTTCTCGATATCCGCTTAAAATCCGCGGTAATAGTTCGGTTCGAATACACCGTCCTTTTTCCATGCTAAAAGTTTTAAAACTCAATCTTGTTCAATTACGTTGACTTTGATGTCATTCGAATCAGCTAGACAAGCTCTAACGAATGAGCTATTATTTGCTTAATCTAATTTTTAGCCCAAAATTTAGCTTGGCTATTTTGTAGTTTTTCACTTTTCGGCGACGAGAGATGATTTTAGTGTCATTCGACACAGCTCGACGAGTTCTATAACCTATGATTGACTATTTTTTTAATACTTTTGGAAAGGAAAAAGGATAGGCGAACCGAATATTACAGAATACGCTTTTTCTAAATATTTATTTAATTTTTAAAATTATTTTCAAATACGGTCCTCAAATATAAAAAAAACATTTTGGAAATTTTAAAACAGCTTTGTGTATAGCCTGATAAAAATGCTATATTTACACTAATAATAATATCTAAATAATAATCACTATATAATTACTAGAAAATACGAGTTGGATGAAGATGGATATCCAATGAACCCAATTGCACGTACTGGTTTTATTAAACGTGGAGAATTGTATCAATGGGGGCCAAGTAAAGGCGTTGGAGCAATTTTACACACAAAAAATGAATATGGACAATTTATGTTTCTTGGCGTTTTAAATGGGAAATTTGAAAGACCAGAAGGTATAATAAATATTTGCCTCTCATATAAAGGCTAAGAGTTTGATAAGAGTTCGACAATTAAATAGATTCCAAGCTTGAGAAATATGATACGCTAACAATAAGCATTTTAACTGCTCTCGAATAATATAATAATACATATAGCCCTAACTTTCTATCAGGCTAACCGATGTTTAAAACATGTAATAGGAATTAAAATGACAATCACTTATAGATAGAAGAATCACAACTCCAGGAGGATATGTAAATCCAGGTGAAGAGTTTGAGGATGCAGCAAAGAGAGAATTAATTGAAGAAGGTCTTGCCAACAAAAAGATAAAAGGAAAAAAAGGAAAAGCTAAATACAAAGAACAGCTGAAAGAGCTTATGGGTAAGGGAGAAGTGGTGATATTTGGCTATCACGATGCGAAACAGGTGATAGAATTTTAGATTATGGGTGCTAATCCAATATTTAACAGACAAACACAGACAATTCATGGGCCGAATCTGTAACATACGCTTTTGAAATTAAACACAAAAATTTAAAAAAATTTGAAGCAGCTGAAGGAGATGATGCCGTAAAAGCTATGTGGATGACAATAGAGGTTGATGAAAATTCAGCTGAAGTAAAATCTTTATTGGAAAATGTAACAACAGAAATACAAGTATTTTGGGATCTTCTTGCTGAAAAAATAGAAAAAATGTTCAGCATAGAGGAAAAGATTGATTTTGTTCTTAGAACCTTCAAGGTAGTTACTTTCAATTTTTAACAACACTTGATTTCATTAAAGCGATTTTATTGCAACAATCACTAAACTTAATTAATTTGACCTATCTCTAATTTTATCGCCTCATTAAATAAAATGTCATTTCAGGTATGCCGGATTGAACGTGTAGAAGAAGTTGACCCGGAAGACCCGGAAGGAACTGTAAAACATGAATACAAAGATATTTGTTTAAAAATGAATGATAAAAATACATCGAACATGGAAGGTGTTGCTCGATTATTCCTTGTTAAATTTTATGATGAAATGCCTTTCTTGGAGTTTCTCGAGAAACAAAAGTCGAATCATGGAACTTATGTAGTCAAAAGGGGAAATGTACCTACAGCGATTACTGGTAGTAAGTTTATTTTTTGATTAAAATTATTTGGAAATACTAGAAAAACGTCTTTATGGACAAGGTAGCGGTACTCGTCATAGACGCGGAAAAGGAAAAAAGAGTTTACACTTAGGCAAAAAGTGAAGTGGAAGTTCAACGCGAGGGAATTAAGCGAATGAATTTATTTGAGGAGCCGTAAAGACTAGAGCATATTGCTCTTCATCTGTCCCTTTTTGTTTAAATTTAGCCGTAGTATGACCAGATGCTCACTAATTGTCTTATTTTATATTAGTTGATATTTAGTTGAAAATATTTTTTCGGAGATCCTTTATTAATATTTATTAGAAATCGGTAAAATCACATTTTCAGGATCATGTATCAGGATTGGGTTTTAAAATTTCGTACAAGACTTTATCCTGCAGGATTAATCCTGAAAATCCTGAAAACTGAAAGAAGGCAGGATTTCGGACAGGATCCTGAAAAATCATGAGCAGGATCTTGTCCTGCGCCGACCACTAATTATTATACTAGATCACAAATTTCTGAAAATTTTTAGAAAATTTTTTATATTTAAAAGACATTAGAAGAGCCGGTCATTAGAATACTTTCTTAGTTATGTACATATTATTCTTTATGTAAATTATATTTATTTTTCCTAACACTTTTCTTGACAAGCATTGTGATTTTTTAAAATTTTTTAGTATAAAACATTTAGCAATTTTTGAATGATTTTTTAATTTAAAGTCAAAATATTAACAAGAATTAGAAAATTAAAGAAAATTTTTAACGCGTGAATTTGAAAATCTTTTAGACAATTTGGTAATAGTGTCGTTTCCAGGCCCCATTTTCTTTACCCAAGTTCTTTCCCTATATTTGAACAGAATGGTCAGGCTTTTTCACTTCTTCCATCCTAATTGCCTTCTATATTTTGCCACAATCAAGAAGGATAATTTTTGGTATTTAAAAAATATTAGTGAGAAAAGTAAAATATAATGATAGGGATTTAGGTTGGAAAAAGGGAAAAAGCCTGACCATTCTGTTCAAATATACGAAAAAGCTTGGGGAGAAAAAAATGGGGCCTTTAAACAAAACTACAGTGACGTGCAAAAGATTATGCCGCGTCTTTAAAACATCATAAAACCTTTCAGGATTGATCAATGTTTACATTCTTGGTCTTAAAAAATAGCTTAAGCGATAACTCAGTTGACTCTTTCGGCATTTTTTTCAATTTCGACTGTTTTAAAGCCGCGGCATAAACTTTTGCATTCTGTTTACCGATTAATTGTATTTATACTTAGGGCCCGAAATTTTTTATTTTATTTACATAACTGCTTGACCCTGTTTAATTCTTAAATTGAACAGATTAATTCAACAATAAAACTTCACCCACAATCCAAACCAGAAATATTTAATAACCAATAAAGCTGTTCCTCGATTGTAGGAAAGGAGATACCGTAGATACCGTAAAATAACCTCATGGAGTTTTTTACGATGGACTTCTAGAGGAGGGCTATTTTAGAGAAAAATTGTGTACATATAAAGTATTTTTATTTTTAAGTTAATTATGAAAATATTTAATTTTGAATTTAATTCTATTTTAAAAACAATTTTTTAGTAAATATTTATATTTTTTTAATTTTTAATAAAAATTTTGTCATTTGACTTTGATTTTTTAAATTTTTATTTAAAAAAGACACGAGGATTGAGGAGGGAAAAAATAAAGAAAGCACTTTAAAAGGGCTAATTTTATTAAATTGAATGAAAATAGGCATAAACTACAGTAATAAATTTCTTTAATCCTGTGATTTTATAAAAAAATTTTTATTTAGCAAATTTTAAGTAGAGAAAAGAAGAAAACCAAAGTAAAAAATAGTAGAAAAAAAATTAAAAAATTTCTTTAAACACATGTTTAATTAATTAATTTTCTGTGGGTGGGTAAAGCACTTTAAAAGGGCTAGAGTTAATTTTATTAAATTGAATGAAAATAGGCATAAACTACAATAATAAATTATTTGAATATTATGATACATATTATAATTTTTTTAATTTCGCAAATTGTAAAAATTTTGAAAAATTTTCTAAAAAGTTTTGGCATACAATAAATATATAAAGCAAAATATATTGAAACATTTTTAAAAAAAGAAACATTTCTTCCGCCAGAGATTTTTTAGTGATATGAGGGTCATTTTTTATTATGTATTAGCGTATGTCTGCAACTTCTGTCCAAAGAAATGTCTTCAAACACCTTCCAAAATAGGCCTTCTATTAAAGATGGGAGGCATCTATAATGGAGGAGGCATTGTAGTAGATTTCAAAACTAAAGCTAGTGTATATGTAAATATTGTCAGATGATAATTTTATTCTTTTCTTCTATTTCCTTCGATCTTTACTAAATTATATAGGGCGGAGTTATTAAGATTAACATAGAAAATTGTATACATAAGAAAATAAATACAGTGAATTTCCCTCGATTTAATCATTATTAAAAATTTTTTTTCATTTAATTTAAAAAAAACCCTGAAAAAATGCGCTTAATCCTTTTTGGGGCATTTGCCCTGCTTATAGCATTAAGCGAAGCAATGGATAAAGGAAAGGCACCTGAAGGATCATCTCAAGGTCTGCCAGGAAATTTAAACGTTTATTTGGAACCAAATGATGAAAATTGCACAAGGGAACTCTACAGGCCTGAATATCAGTTACCGTTGCCGCGTGAATATAATGGACTCTACAAAAGTATGTTTATAATATGGAAAGATTTTAGATTTACCGTATTTCCTCTATTAGAATGCCATGGCACACTCTAATATTTTTTACTCACCTTTCAGAGTGATTGAAATGGAGGGGCATCTATAGTGATCGGGGCATCTATTTGAGATGGGGGGGGGGGAATCTATTAGAGATGAGGGATATCTATGGTGGAGGAGGCATTGCTTTTATAAAATAATATCCTTAAATAAAACAATTTGAATTTTAAAAAAACCGCTAATAAACCGCAAAAGTCGAATAATTATTTTTATACAATAAATAATTTAAGCGACAACCTTTCCGAGAGCTACGGCTAATGAAGAGGAATTTAAAAGAGTCTTGAATGAACAGAATGAAGTGTTAGAAGTGTTTATGAGCGAAGAAGAGTATAAAAAGATTATGGGCGAACATGTGTATGAGGAATATAAACAATTGGGTGACGATAGACAGATTAATTATATTGAAAAAATAGTAAAAGTGAAGCAATTAGAAGAATACTTGAAGCTGAACAAATTAGATACATACTTGGAGCAATTAAAAGATATGAGAGAAAATGAGAATATGAAAGGTGGCCCAGCTGTTAATCGTCCATGTCACATGATTAACGAGGCTGAAGTTTGTAAAATTGATGTTTGTATGTTTTATTTTATTCTATTTTTAAATATTGGATGAATAAATAATGAAAATTGTAACGCCTTTTAAAGATTTATAGAAATAAAGGATAAATTTAAAAAGAGGATAAGAATAAAGGATAAGAACAATTTTCAAAGGAAATTTGTTTTGCTCCTAGCTGCTGAATAAACATTTGCATTGGCTAAAGTAGAAATGGCTATAGCCAGTTCTGCTTTCCAAATTACACAAATTGTCCAATGTTTTGAGGGGCGGTTCTTGTGTTGTTTAGAGGGATGTTGTTTTAGAGGGACGGTTTTTACATTTTTACCCATGATGATTAAATAAACAAATATATGAATGCTAATCATTTTTACATTTTAGCTGAACTTTATGGTCCTTACGAACCAGTACAGGTTGTAGGACTTCATTTGTTAAGAGGTTATTTACCAGCGTGTGATTGGATTAGGCCTGATTTCGAAGATGTTAAAAAATATGCCAAATTATGGCATACTGATAATAAAGAGGATTTGATTATCCATCATGATATAGGCAATGATGAAAAGCGAATAATTGATCGTTGCTCATTTTATGGGTTTGAAAGTTTTCATTTATTTGTTATAAAATATGTGAATGATGCTAGAAACCAAGAGGACCACATACATATAGTCAAAAAATGCCTCACAGAAATATATTCACTTGGGATTTCCAGGGATTCGAGGGTTAAGCGGAATATAAGTGGACATCGTTAGGCATAATTTATTTTTTGATTTTTTACAATAACTTGGATTTGCTTGAAATAGTTCCCTACATACATATATGTATAAATAAAATCGCTGACTGTAATTATAATCATCTGACTCCAATATTTTTATTCCTATTCTCGTATCCCCTTAATCTCTCTAAATTTCTCGATATCCGCTTAAAATCCGCGGTAATAGTTCGGTTCGAATACACCGTCCTTTTTCCATGCTAAAAGTTTTAAAACTCAATCTTGTTCAATTACATTGACTTTGATGTCATTCGAATCAGCTAGACAAGCTCTTGCAAATGAGCTATTATTTGCTTAATCTAATTTTTAGCCCAAAATTTAGCTTAGCTATTTTGTAGTTTTTCACTTTTCGGGGACGAGAGATGATTTTAGTGTCATTCGACACAGCTCGACGAGTTCTCTATGATTGACTATTTTTTAATACTTTTAGAAAGGAAAAAGGATAAGCGAACCGAATATTACCAAATCCACTTTTTCTAAATATTCATTTAATTTTAAAAAATTTTTTTAAATACGGTCCTCAAATATAAAAAAAGATTTTCGAAATTTTAAAACAGCTTTGTGTATAGCTTGATAAAAAGGCTATATTTACAGTAATAATAATCACTAAATAATAATCACTAAATAATTACTAGAAAATACGAGTTGGATGAAGAAGGATATCCAATGAACCCAATTGCACGTACTGGTTTTATTAAACGTGGAGAATTGTATCAATGGGGGCCAAGTAAAGGCGTTGGAGCAATTTTATACACAGAAAATGAATATGGACAATTTATGTTTCTTGGCGTTTTAAATGGGAAATTTGAAAGACCAGAAGGTATAATAAATATTTGCATTTTATATAAAGGCTAAGAGTTTGATAAGAGTTTGACAATTAAACAGATTCCAAGCTTGAGAAATATGATACGCTAACAATAAGCATTTTACCTGCTCTCAAATAATATAATAATACATATAGCCCTAACTTTCTATTAGGCTAACCGATGTTTAAAACACGTAATAGGAATTAAAATGACAATCACTTATAGATAGAAGAATCACAACTCCAGGAGGATATGTAAATCCAGGTGAAGAGTTTGAGGATGCAGCAAAGAGAGAATTAATTGAAGAAGGTCTTGCTAACAAAAAGATAAAAGGAAAAAATAGAAAAGCTAAATACAAAGAACAGCTGAAAGGGCTTATGGGTAAGGGAGAAGTGGTGATATTTGGCTATCACGATGCGAAACAGGTGATAGAATTTTAGATTATGGGGTGCTAATCCAATATTTAACAGACAAACACAGACAATTCATGGGCCGAATCTGTAACATACGCTTTTCATATTGACTACAAAAATTTTAAAAAATTTAAAGCAGCTGAAGGAGATGATGCCGTAAAAGCTATGTGGATGACAATACAGGTTGATGAAAATTCAGCTGAAGTAAAATCTTTATTGGAAAATGTAACAACAGAAATACAAGTATTTTGGGATCTTCTTGCTGAAAAAATAGAAAAAATGTTCAGCATAGAGGAAAAGATTGATTTTGTTCTTAGAACCTTCAAGGTAGTTACTTTCAATTTTTAACAACACTTGATTTCATTAAAGCGATTTTATTGCAACAATCACTAAACTTAATTAATTTGACCTATCTCTAATTTTATCGCCTCATTAAATAAAATGTCATTTCAGGTATGCCGGATTGAACGTGTAGAAGAAGTTGACCCGGAAGACCCGGAAGGAACTGTAAAACATGAATACAAAGATATTTGTTTAAAAATGAATGATAAAAATACAATGAACATGGAAGGTGTTGCTCGATTATTCCTTGTTAAATTTTATGATGAAATGCCTTTCTTGGAGTTTCTCGAGAAACAAAAGTCGAATCAAGGAAAATATGTAGTCAAAAGGGGAAATGTACCTACAGCGATTACTGGTAGGGAGTTTATTTTTTGAATAAAATTATTTGAAAATAATAGAAAAACGTCTTTATGGACAAGGTAGCGGTACTCGTCATAGACGCGGAAAAGGAAAAAAGAGTTTACACTTAGGCAAAAAGTGAAGTGGAAGTCCAACGCGACGGCATTGAGCGAAAGAGTTTATTTGAAGAGCCGTAAAATCTAGAGCATATTGCTCTATTTGATCTTTCCCCTTTTATTTAAATTTAGCTGTAGTATGACCAGATGCTCACTAATTTTCTTTTTATATTAGTTGATATTTAGTTGAGAATAGTTTTAGGAGATCCTTTATTAATTATGTAGAGTACCGGAATTTTGGTCACCAAGGATTTTCGGAAATTTAGTGACCAACTTTTTTGTAATTTTGGTCACCAGCGGAATTTTGGTCACCAAACAGAAAAATTAATCTTTTCTAAAACTGATATCAAAGTGATAAAAAATGATTTTTCGACCCCCAGTTGATCAATTTCAATGTTTATCACTCTCCCGGCTGATCACTCTTTTGGTTGATCACTATTAATCACACTCCTGGAAATCACTATTAATCAACATTGAAATTTATTAACTAGTAGTTGAAGAACAATTTTTATCGCTTTGATATCAGTTTTAGAAAAGATTCGTTTTTCTCGTTTGGTGTCCAAAATTCCTATTTTTAACCAAAATTCCAGTGCACAAAATTCCGTACACCTTATAATAGATCACTCATTTCTGAAAATTTTTATATAAACAAGACATTAGAAGAGCCGGTCTTTAGAATACTTTCTTAGTTATGTACATATTATTCTTTATGTAAATTATATTTATTATTCCCTCACTTTTCTTGACAAACATTGTGATTTTTTAAAATTTTAGTATAAAACATTTAGCAATTTTTGGTTGATTTCTTAATTTAGAGTCAAAATATTAACAAAAAATATATCAGAAAATTAAAGAAAATTTTTAACGCGTGAATTTGGAAATCTTTTAGACAATTTGGTAATAGATTTGGAAATCTTTTAGACAATTTGGTAATAGTAATAGAGTTTTTTCGCTATATTTGAACAGAATGGTCAGGCTTTAACCCTTCTTACTTCCCTTTTGCCTTTCTATATTTTATCACAATCAAGAAGCATAATTTTTGGTACTTAAAAAGTATTAGTGAGAAAGTAAAATTTATAGATAGGGATTTAGGTCGGAAGAAGGGAAAAAGCCTATTCATTCTGTTCATAGGAGGAAGCTTGGGGAGAAAAAAATGGGGCCTGTAAACGACACTATGTATTACTGAGAATTTAAATGACCGACCCTGTTTAATTTTTAAATTAAACAGATTAATTAAACAATAAATTTCTTGGAACGTCAAAGCACTATCAAACATTAAAGTTTAAGCTAATCAGCTTTTACAAAAGAAAATGAATTATTTTTTAATTTAAATTCAAATAATAATTCAATTTGAATCACAATTTTTTAAAGCAAAAAAGCGATTTACAACAAAAAATTTTTCAGTTGTAAAAAGTAATAAAAATTAAATCAAATCATTCAATCACGAGAAAATAAATACTCAATAATTTTTTTGCTGTTTTTGGATGTTTAAAATTTTTGTTGGTTAAATAAAATGGATTGGATGTTTTAATTTATTTAATGAACATATTACTGCAATTTAATTAATTAATTTAACAGTAAAATAAGAAATGATTGAGAAGGAGAAGGAGAAGGGGAAAGTGTTTGAAAACGAGAAAAAAATTTAGAAAAAAATTTTTTCTAGTCGGAGGAAACTGGGACGAAATTAATGATATTTAATTTATTTTATGTTAAGAAAGAAAATTAATAATTTAATAAACCTTTCAAATCTTTTAACAGGCAGACTTTTTTATTTATCTTATGAGTAAATTTATTAAAATAAATTTTATTTGTTAATTAATTATAATCACTGTATTTTTTCACCCTTATCAATAATTTTGTTAAAAATTTTTATTAGATTATAGAAAGCCTGGTCTATAAAATTTTGTGGTAATCACGAGAAATAATAGTATTAATTTTGCTTTTAATGCAGAAATGCCTGAATGCTTTAAAGCTTTAATAGAAGGCCCATGACGAAGCTGGCCAACGTAGCGCGAGCTTAACGTACCGCAGAGCCATAGATTCTTTCAAAATAGTCGAATTAGGACGAGCTGAATCGAACCATATCCGGATTCTACGATTTTGAACGAAGCCTCTGTGGTACGTTGGCCTCGCGGTACGTTGGGGTGTGCCCGTCCCATGACAAGACGTTTTGGATAATAAATTTGGATAATAAATAAATTCCTCAATCATTTTACTCAAAAATTATTTAAGCTAGATTATTCTCAGAAATCGGAGATATCGTGTAGAATGTAGGACTATCCAGTCTACACGATATCCTCGGGCCCTACAGTGTAGACTGTAGGGCCCGAACTTTTTTTAGTTTAGCGCCTACATCGCTAATTTAATTTCCTTCAAAAATTCACCCTCTGATGCCAATTTATTTCCTAATTTCCTTAATTTCCAATTTTACATTACACTTTGACTATTTCTTAAAACTTAAAACACGCGCATCAAAAGTTTGACTAAACAAGCATTGATTATTACATCATTATTACTTAATTAAAATAACATCCGCCATTCACTTGCCCTTCTCTCCTTTTTTCCCTTTTTTATTCGCCGCATTTTAATATTATTAAAAATATAATTTAAATAAATTTATTTTTATCAAATTTTAAAAAATAAAAAAAATTATTTAATTTTTTCCTTTTTTCTCGATAATTCCAAAATTATTATTTAATCAATTAAAAAATACTAATAAAAATATGTACATTAATATTTACCACACTTTTCTTTTCTTTCTGATAAGAAATTTTTATTAATGATATTAATTCGCTTACAAATAAATTAAAAAATAATTTTAGAACAAAAATTAACTAAAAAACTTCTTTAATTATTTTATTAAAAATATAGTCGGACCTCACAGAAAAACTATCATTTACCTTATAATGAAGTGAATTTTGTAAATATTTAGGAAATATTTAGGCAGTTCGGTCACCTACTCATCGATAAGAAAGTGGGTACCTGATTTTGGAGTATTTGTTTATGCTGGTTCGACTGTATGTATCGACTTATTAACGAAAATCATAGCCTTAGTTTAGTCCATTTTATGTTACTGAAACATGTGACAATCCCCGATGAGTAGGGGGTTGGTTATCTTGATACCTTGCTTGTATCTCTGTGGACCTACTATTAACAACTACCTATTTTAAATCTTAAACACTTATCTCCTTTTTGTAAGTGCATAATTATTACCCTTAAAAAATTTTTTTAATTTTCCAAAATTAATATTAGCTTGGAAATTCTCATTCTACTGTCTCATTATCTTATTTTTGAATTATTTTTCAAAATAATTAATATTTTAAAAGTAATTCATTTCAATGATTTCTTCATCAACAAATCAGTCTACATTAGCCCAACAACAACAACATCAACAACATTTACAGCAACATCAACAGCCTCCACAAAGAGGACATAATGTTCAGACGAGGGATTATGCATCGCTACAATTGGAAGTTTTTGAATTGGTTGGTGATAAGAAATAAAACTCGCCGAGATCCAATATCTGATTTGGGTCTCTTAATATAGTGTCGGATCTCTTAAATAATTATCGATAATTCCAAAAATGTACGGTCTCGTGCCGATCAACTATGAAATTAATGAGACAGTCAATCGAAACCTTCCTAGGGATATATGAATCCATGACAGGCAGGTCACACCAAATATCCTTAAGTACAGGAAATGATAATTTAAAAAAATAAAATTTAATTTTTAAATAAATTTTCATAAAATTATCCTTTCATAACTAAAAATCTGTAAAATAATTTTTTAGCTCTGCATTTTTCAAAGAGTTAAACGAATTCAATCAAAAGATACCACTCAATGTGGCCAACTTGTCCAAGACAATACAATGAATGATGAACAAAGGAGTGAATATATTAATCGTTCAATGTATAGAATTTTGAATGAAGTTGAAGCTAAAATTGTTTGTTTGCCAAATAATACAGGCAATTTAAATTAATAATATTAATTAATAATTATGAAGCTTGACGCGCTTTATGTGTGGCTCAATATCTCTAAGAGCTCAATATCTCAAAAATGTCGAGCTAGATAATCAAGCATTTTTGTTCGAGATCTCGTCGCAGACTGATCGTCGCAGTCTGATTTAATTTTAAGTATATAGACTCTCCTTTAAAAATTATATAGCATAATTAAGTGTATCTAGGCGGTATCACCTAGAAAGCTACCAATCGAATTTTCGGATACTTATGTTAAATTGAGTTATCTATTGGGTATTTTATATCTTGTTCTCATATAGATAGATATCTTCTCGAATCACTATCGAGCCGATCATTTATTTATATTGTAATTTTTAGATCCAATAACTCCAGATTATTTTGATGAATGGAGTTTTTTAACATGGGCATTATTACAAATAATTAACAGATTGGAGGCTATGAATAAAAATGAAAGTAATCTTTTGGATTATTGTGGAAAGCATTTTAAAGTATAAATTAAAGTTGTGGTATTTTAGAATAAACATTATTAAACAGGAGAAGATACATACAGCCCTAGTTGATTTGGTTAATAAAGCTCATCGAATGCAACCCCCACCTACATTACAACCTAATGATCAGCAATTTGAAAGATTCTATCAAGTAAACAAAAAAATTTATTTTTAGGGCAGATCTGATAGAAGGAGGAATGGAGGGTAAGGGGGATTAGAAAGGAGGGTAAGGAGGAGAAGGGAGGAGGGTAAGGGGAGTAGAGTGGAGGGGAAAGGGGAGTAGAGTGGAGGGTAAGGGGGAGTAGAGTAGAGGGGAAGGGTGAGTAGAATGGAGGGTAAGGAGTAGTGTTTCACCGGAACCGAAATTTTGACCGGAACCGGAACCGGAACCGGATCCAATTTAAGTTCCGGTTCCCGGAACCGGAACCGGAACCTTTCAAAGTTCCGGCCCGGAACCGGAACCGGAACCGGAACTTTTAAAAAATTTTTTGCTAGCACATTTTAAAAAATTTTTATTTTAAGTAGGGGTGCGGTTTCGCCAAATTTTTCGATTAAATTCTGCCAAATTCTTCTGTTAATCGAAACGAAAAAAAATCCAAGTTTTGGAAGACCAAATCCCCAGCTATTCAATCCCTGATATCTACCTTGCACAGCTCATTCCCTGGACATCACACCCAAATCCCTCTATATTACCTATAACCCCTTGAACTCACATAATGTAACTAAAAATCCACCTTCATCCATCCAAATCCTTCGATTTACCATACAACTTCCCTTCATAGCGCCGCAGGCGAAAATTTTGGGATTTTAGGTGAACCAAGGATACAAAATTCTTCCTTTTTAAGCGCCGCAGGCGAAAATTTTGAGAATTTGTGTGACCAAGTAGCTAGATTTCTTCCTTTTCTGGCGCCGCAGGCGAAAATTTTGTTAATTTTGGAAGGCCAATCGGGGAAAATATTGCAAGGCCAATCCATATTTCTTAAAAAAACTAATCCTTAGGGGTGTAAAAAAGTTCCGGTTTGCCCGGAACCGATTTGTAAACCGGAGCCGGAACCGGAACCGGAACCAATTTGAGTTCCGGTTCCCGGAACCGGAACCGGAACCAAAAAAACACCGGAACTTTCCGGAACCGGAACCGGAACCGGAACTTCCGGTGAAACTCTAGTAAGGAGGAGTAGAGTGGAGGGTAGGGGGGAGTAGAGTGGAGGGTAAGGGGGAGTAGAGTGGAGGGTAAGGGGGAGTAAAGTGGATAGTACGGGGGAGTAGAGTGGAGGGGAAGGGAGGGAGAGGAATACTTGGCGGATAATAACGAATCACTCGGAGTCCTCTTATAAAGAGAATAACACTATAATTTAATTTTTTAAAAGTCGTATGTCACTGCACTCATTTCCCTCCATGAACTTTATACAATGACTCAACAACACCAACAACAAAATAGTGCAAATATTTTTGAATTTGAAGCACATATAGCCCATTTTAAAACACAATTAAATGCTTGTTTTGCTTTACAAAGAGCATTTGCTAATTCTGTTAGTTTCAAAAAGGATACTTCAAAAATTAATTTTTTCAGCACGGTTCAATGATTTGGAGACAATTAAGAGAACATCAAATACGAAAAATGACAAATTATGGATATGAAAATAAAGGGTTTCTTGATTCTGCCGTTACATTTTATGCTCATATGTTATACAATTTGGGGGTTTTGGCTGCTAGAATACAGGGATTCGCTTATGAAATTCGCAACAACAAAACTTTTGTTTCTGGTCATTCTGATTTGGTTAAACCTTTATTGGCAATTGTAAATGACATTAAACAATTTTAAAATATTTTTATTTCCCCAATAGGTCTATAAAATGGCAGATGTTTTACTTAGTGATAGCATTATTTGTCTAGAACCAAGTCTAAATCCAATTTTGGTTACTAATAATTTGTATGTTTTGTCCTTTGATTTGACATAAATCAACCTGCAAAATTAAAATTAATTTTTTAGGTTCCCAATGAAAATTGTTTCACTATGCCGTTTCTCGTTTTTCCGGGATTTTTCTTTACAAATTGTATCGGAAGAAATGGCACAACAAATACAACAGGAGATGCTTCATCACAAAACTTTTGATCCACCCTCTCCCATTCGCAAGTATTTTTAAATAATTTAACTGAGTCTCTCGGGAGCGGTTTATTTTTATGGAGGTTTACGTTTAGAAGGGAACATTGTAAAAATATAAAAAATATTTTAGAAAAAATACAGTAATTATTTAACAATAATTTTAGAACACGTACAGCTGCTTTATTAGCAATGAAACCTGCAACTGGAGTAAAACGGAATAATGCTAAAGCATCTGAAGGTGATCTGAAAATAATTCTCAAAAAATTTTTGAATTTAACAGAAGGGGGAAATACGGCACATAAAAAATCAGATGTAAATTCAAAGGAATGGATTTCTATCCCTCCCTTATACGATACAGAACATGGAGGATGGTGTGCAACATATCCTCATTTACTCTGTACAACAAGACAAAAAGTGTTTTAAAAAATTAAAAATTTTTTATGAATTTATTTAAAAGGATACTTTACTTGAAACTCGTTCTGCTGTCCAAACAGGCAAACGCCCTCTTTTTTATTTTCATGTTAGGGCAGAATTGTTCAGCTTTTCTGGTGCTTTTACAACAGCACATACACTCTCATTACCTTTTACTATTGCAACGAGAAGAAATCAGGTGAATCTAAGGAATATTTTTTAAAGTTTCAATCCTACCGATAAAATCAAAAAAATTTATTTCTCGAAAAAATATCTTGTTGGCATACGTACATAAATTAGACAAACTGTGTATTCCAAATATTCGAGTGACATAGGTTTTTCGGTTCCAAAAGGTTTCAATTTTTTGACAGCTCCACGGTTTCGACTCTCAACGTGTTCTTATGGTTTGACAGTTCTATTGTTTCGTTTCTACTGCGGTTCCAAAAACCGATCCCTATAGTCAAGAAAACAAGACAATTACGTACCTTAATTCTAAGGATTGTCAAGTTCAACGAATGATGAGTTCTTATACAGCTACATGTTTTTGGCTTTATGGAACAAATGTCTTTGATGGTCTTTTACTTCAATGGCATGATGGGGGTAAAAAATAAATTTAAATGAATTGAATTTATTTTCTAAAATTTAAAGAAATTGACTGGAAACATTTTAAATTGCTTTATTCCCTTTATTTTGCAATGAATGCAGAAGTAACAAGAACCTTTATTGATGAAGACTTTAATATCTTACAACAAAAAATGCATTGTTCAGAGTGTACTGAACGCAGTAAGTTATGCATACATATTTGGAAATTTACTTGTTTCTAATAATCCTTTAATCCTATTGATAAGAACCTTAAACGTAAAAAACGTGGAACTTAAGTTAACATAAATTTATTTGATAATTAAACGAGCTTGCAACCTACTTGACATTTGAACTAGGAACGTGTTTGCAAGTGTCTATACTTAAAATCTTGACAATTGAGCTTAAGCTTATTTAATACTTACACTTAAAATTTGACAATTTAACTTAAGCCTGAAACTTATTTTATCATAATGCCATTTATCTTAGATTTAAGGCCAGAAGCTTTAACAGCTCCTATCCGCCTTCTTCCTATCTTCTCTCATAATCCACGCATAAAATTAAATTAAGAAATTTAAAATATTTTTAAAATTAAAGCTACAATTGACCTAACAAATGAATACTCTTTGGACCAACCTTCTTTAATAAGTTTCAAAAATGTTCTCTGTCCTCATTTACATTTTACTTCACCAAATTGTGATTTGAGATTTAGTGTTTGGTAATTAAAATTTTAATTGAAAAATATTTTTAAAATCAAAAAAGGAGAGGAATGTTGGAACTTTTGCATTTATTCAGTGACCAAAAAACAGAAACAAGAAATTTATGGGAGGCTGGATTGCTTCAAGGATTTATGGAATTAAATACTGTAAATATTTATTGAGTCAATTAAAATTAATAATTAAACATTGATAGCTGAACTTGAAACATCTTGAAGCTTAAGTTTGAAATATAAACTTGACAAAATCTTAAGTTTAAACTTATAATTTACTTAAGATATCAAACTTAATTAAACTTAATAGACATCAAGTTTAAACTTGAAACTTACTTGATATTCAAGTTTGAACTTGAAAAACTTAATAATTAAGATTAAACTTAAAACTTATGTAACCCTATATCTAAACTTGAAATTTATTTGATTTTTAAGCTTGAACTTGAAAACCTATTATTTGTGTTTAATTTAAAACTTGGAACTTAAGCTTAACTTGAACTTACTTGTTATTAAATTTCTCTTAAACTTAAAAGTAAACATAGATTCCGGGTTAACCTTAAACTTAAAATTTGATAGTTAAGGCTTAGTTTAATTAAAAAATTTATAACTATAGGTATATTCAATGCTACGAACACTTCCCGGTTCAGGACTTGTAATGCGGTTATCATTAGTAGCAGGGGCTTGTGTTTGTATTACTGTTAAATGTTCAAATGATGAATTTCTTGATTTAGTAATTAAATAACTAAATATATTAACAAAAAAATAATATTTTAGGAGCCATTGGATGTTAAAAAACTTCAATCTAAAAATTTAAATGATTATCTGAAAGATATAATTCTTTCTGAGAAGGTTAAAAATGAGTTATTTAAATTAATCCAAAGATATTTAATAAGGTTGATTTCGTTCTCGATTCGGATAAACAATGGGTACATGTTGCGGAGGTTCTAAAGCGTTGTCAGAAGGTTTCTGGAGATAATCAGGATCCTGCACAAGAAATAAAAGCGAGAGAAATACTGTCTAATGCTCTACATCCAGGCCCTATTGAGAAACAACATTCAATCACGTAAAATTTTAAATTTATACTCGATCGGACGGTTGTCTTAAACTTGGGAAAAAAATTTTCTAAACCTAAAATTTTTTTGAATTTTATAGAGATTTATAAAAATTTATTAAAATTAAGTTTCACTCCAATGCGAGTTGCTGTTGTAACGTGTAAAACAAACACTACAGATAATAACAATGAACCAGATGATGAATTTGCCACTGATAATGTATGAAAAATTTTTATCAAAATTTGCTTTCATATGCTTAAAATTTCAGACTGTAGCAAATTCGAATTCTCAACAAGATCCAAACAACCAACAAACCCTTAATGGTGGGGAAGCGAATTTTGAGGCTGAGCTAAGGCAGTTAATGCACAGATATGGAAAGACACCAAAGGATGTTGTTAATATTTTTTCACTATCTTTACATGAACAACAGCAACCTTTGGAACATTTGGAGGCAAGAAAATTTTTCTAATTAGAAAATTGTTTTTTAGCTAAATATAACTCCAAATTTATTAAATCAACATTCAATTCAACATCAACAAAAACATCCAACTTCAACAACTGCTTTCCTTTTATGTCAACAAATGCCTATAGTAGGCAATGATGTTCAGCAATGTCAAAAGCTTGATAAAAGTGGAGGAAATGGTGCTGGACTTATTCGTTCTGTACCTTCTTCCTCAACATTATCCTCTCATTTGGAGGAAGATAATATATCAACCACATGTTCTATGCCTAAAAAGCTTTCACCCAATTCATCAAAAACAAATAATCCTCCATTTCAAACACAATCTGACAGATTTTATTTCACAAATAATCGTAGTAGTGGTGGAAGTTTAATGCCAACAATGAATAAACCAATTATTTTAATGCCCGCAATTGCTACAAACGTAATAAAATTAAACCTCGATTTACATATACACCCGTGGGGGTTAAAAATTGTATCCCTAACTGAGTTATCCATTATTGTTGATACGGTCTCTATGCGCTTTGATACATAGGTCTCTTCCACCATTTTTCATAGACAATCTCTCACTCAATTTTACGTGCATAATATCCTATAAGCTTTAAAAATTATCTCAACCTGAGAGGGTATCTAATAGTGGGTGTATATAAAATCGAGTTCCTACGATTTTTAAAAAAAATCTTTTTATAAAAATCTTATTAAGGCTAATCCATCTTACATGATTACCCCATCAATATCTTCAAATGGTTCACATAGCCAAGAGTCAATATTTAGCTCAACACTTGACAGAATTGATAATAATTCTTCACTTTATTCCTTATCAACTAATAATTCCTCTAATACAATTTGCACTTCTTCCTGTTGTTCTTCTGCATTATCCACAACAATTAGTGGAGATATTAATGAATCTTCACCAATTAATTCAATTTTGTGTCAACAAATGTCAATCCAAAAACAGCCATTAATTATGCTGTCAAATTCTCAACAACAACAAATAACAGAAGGGAATGTTTTTCAAAATTTAAATTATAACCAACAACATTTAAATCCCTCGGCTGAACAACAACATCAACAACAATTATTGCAACAACAGCAATTTCATTTCCGAATGTCTTGAAATTTAAATAATTTTAAATATTTTGGTCTACGTCGGACCTCCCCACTACTGCTTTCCTTAAAAAATTAAACTACGGTTCCAGTTCCAAACCGGTCCGTACCGTTACCGGTTCCACCTTTTCAGTTCCAGACCGGTTCCGGACCTTTCCCGGTTCCACGGTTTCAGTTCCGGAACTAGAACTGGAACTTTTGCGTCACTGTTGATTATTAGGTAAGCCATTGTTTTTCAAAAAATGATATGAAATAATTTTTTTAGACAAGAAACTATTTCATTGTGAGGTCCGACTGTACTTATATAATAATAGTGATATAATAATAATTAAAATTATTTTCTGTTATAAGCACGTAATCCACATTTCCAACAAATAATCCGGTTTTTCTATTAATCGTCAATGCATATGTACTCAGATATTTTATGTAATAAATTTATTTAGCAATTTTAAGTTTTTCTGTTATGTTTTATTTTATTTTTAAATAATTTTTTCAAAAATAACGTTACGCTTTTTTATTTTCTTGGTTAAAATATT